CGCTGGTTCGATCCAGTATGTTTAGTTAGATTTTTGAATGCTAGTGAAGACAGTGCTTCTATGAATAGGACTTAAATCCTATTATTTGTGTGAAGACACTCGTGGTACAGTGGACAAGACAGTGCGCTGGGAACTCAAAGATCGCAAGTTCGAATCACGGATTGGACACTCCTACAAAAGACATGAAAGACGTTAAAAACATAAACAGCAGATTCAAAAACTCAAGTCAGAAAAACAGAACACAAGAATACTACCTCACATGGAAGCCAGTAGTCGACGAAGAACGAACACAGTTGACAGCTGTAGGTCACGTGCAACAACAGACACGAGGAGCATGGCTGCTCTCCAAATGGGTCCCTTTTTTTGTATTGACCCCCTAATGATTACTGATCCCCCTTTCTAACTCTTCCCCCAAAAATAATATATCGCCCCTTTTAAAATGTATTGACCCACAAATTAATGAATATTCATGAGCACAGAAACTGCTACGTCATGAATAAATTAGCATAATTAAAAAAAAATTGCATAAAGTGTAGGTACGTCTTCTGAAGTCCTGCCGATCTTTCCAGTCGCAGCTTACATTCATATCAATTTAAAGCTGAAAACCATTTCTAATACATGTATATCACTTCAAGACAATGTTAGAAAAATATGTATTGGTAAATTCTTTTAAAGTGCCACAATTACCCCGGTACATGTATCTGCATGAATATCTAATAACAAATCATGTTATATGTACATTGTATACAATGTTGCAGTGACTGTAGTGCAATTTTCCCCCAAAAAAATATGGTTGCAGTTAACGTTTAAAGCGACACTGCCATCAAAACTATGTACATACTTGTAACAATAACAAGTAATTGTTTGTACATGTAACTTCAAACAATTTTGAAAATTTTGAGTCATGCTTGATCATAGTTTTTTGTAATGTTAAAGGGAGCGGGGATTTGGCTTTTGTCACTCTGTACATAAATTTTGAGATCTATGAATGAATTCTGTAGATAAAAACAACTTGTATGTGCTGCAAAATGCCCTAAATATCGGGTATAAAACAGGCTGTAAAGTAGACAACAAACGTTCGCTTTGCCTGGTGTCATTTCGCCTCTAGACGGCCAGTCAATGACGTCATCATTGAACACTGATAATTGAACCCATTCATTCTAGTACGTCAATCCCATAGAAGTGCTACTATGAACGACCTTGTTTACTGACAATTTAAAAGTTGAAACAAGGTGAGGTATTGTGCGTATGAATGCCATAACGATTCAAGTTAAGTTTCTCAAAATCCCAAATGAATAATCGAGTTGTTGGTTGCGAGAAACCGGCAGAAGAACTACCGTAACCTGAAAGTGAACCACATACAGCATTCTAGCTATAGTAAGCAGTGAGTGAATAAATATTGTATGAGTTAAAACTAAATTAGAAATACGCTAACATCACTTGACACAAAGTGGTGTAGATTTGAAAAGTCGTTCAGAATTTACTAATAGTTTAATTTAACAATAACTCATATGCAGTTGAGACAACAGTGTTGCTTTAGCTTGTGCCTCAAGGTAGCGACAGGGGGAAAAACAAGAAAAAAAACATCATGCATTCCGTGAGTAATTTCAGGTTATTTTCATGAACCCAGCTATGGGTGAATACATGTACGTCCTCTGTACATTTACATACCAGGTTGAGTCTCAGACTGAAAACAAAGGATTTAATTTGCATACCGATTTGTTGAACGTCCAACTTTATTATATTCTATGTAATCTGACCGTTACATGATGGCAATTGAAGCACAAACAAACATTCTTACTATAGTATTTGGATTTCAAGCTGGGTGTATATGATAGAGGGAAGTTGTGCAACCAAATTTGCCGAGTTCGCAGTTTTTCGCCAATGAAAAAATAACTAAGGCAAAAACTCACGGTTTTTCAGCATTTTTGTAATAAAGACATTATTATCTATCAATAATCCGCCCAAAACAGGAACATTTCTACTTATTCTTGTGTTTTTTTTGACGTTTTTTGAAAAACCTGCGATTAGGCGTCGAAAGTAGAACATCCGGAGGGGGTGAAA